GTTGTGCACTGGTACCTGGGGATTTCATGTCAAAGTCAACTTCCTTGGCAATCCCATGGGAACTGCGCTATGCACATTCTCATGAAAGGTGTGAAAATCTGATTTTCTAAAATGGATCAGTAATTCTCTATGAAGGAGGAAAGGATCAATAAATCTTTGCTAAGTAGATTGTAAAGGAAAAATTATTCTTTCAGTGACAGTACATTAGGATCCTCCAAACAATCTCAATAAACTAAAGACATAGCATTTCTCCACCAGCTATTTTTGACTTCTGATATATTTTTGTAATCTCAGATCATTCTGCAATGCACATACATTTATATTTCCTAAGCAACATTCCACATTGAGTTTGATTTATGAGGATATGCCATTATAATGCCAGGCTCTGAGTAGAAAACAGAAAATTATTAGCTGCTTCTAACCTGATAGATGTGATACAAGGAAATATCATTACAGCCATGCACACATATATGTTTGCCACTATATCATACCTTTTCTACAGTTAATCTGTATGTATCCTGTTGTTTGGATCTATGTAAGCATGTTGGCCTCTATTACACATGTTTGTGCTTGTTGAAGCATCTGGTAAGCTAAGCAAAACTTCCTAGTAATTTAGATGGTTCCTATAGTTATGTGAAATATTTGAATAGAGTGGAATGTACAACTGCAAGCAATCACTGAAAATGAAATGCCTGATTCATGTTGGCTCCATTTGGATGTCATGCTGCACCATAGTTGAGTATAACAAGAATGAACCCCGTCTTGAGGCTCCTGCTTCCATTTCCTTACAAGGGAGAGTTTTGAAACTTTTGCTTCCATTTCATGTGAACCAAAATACACTATATCAGACAGATTTAAAAGCAGAGTTTAATTTTAACCAAGGTTAGTGAAAGCAAACTGTAGTGTACAGTTTAACTGTAGCCAAGATGAACCACAGCTTGGGTTCCAAAAGAACATTAAATTTTGTGTTTAGCCTAAAACAGAAGCAGAAGTTCCCATGTATTCCTTGCAGCTGTGCTGACGAAGGAGAATGGGAGCATATCGGCCCATGGTTCACTGCAATTTAGTGTTATCACATTAATCTATGGTTTAGCATGACATCAAAATGTGGCCACTCAATCTAGTGTTACAGGCAGAAAAGGTCTCTTGCAGGCAGGCAGTCTTGCAATCTAGTCTCTCCTCCTTTAAGCATACCCCTTGATTATTACACCTCCCATCTTTGGCAGTGCCACAGTAAACTATAACTCCAGACCAGTGAGATTGTGCCTTGTCATAAAAATAAAGAGATGGTGCTCGTTGCATCTTGAAGCAATTCTGCCTAAGTGGATGGGAGGACCAATGCAAAAATACCAATAACTGGGTGTGGAAAGCTGACTCAGAAGCAAACTACCAGTACAGGTAGGAATTTGAATAAAGTCATCCAGAAAGACCTTTTTAAAACAAACAAACAGTGCCTCCATGGTTCATCTCTCCAGTGAAGTCTGGAATTCAACCTTTTCTCCACAGCTTCATCCAACCCTAAGTCAAGCTCACAGAAAGACCTCTTAATGTTTCGATTCTTCCAATGTGAGCCAAATCCCAGGGCTATCCCTCTGGGCTGCATCTGGTAGTTGAGCAGCCCGGGTCACAGTTGCTTTAGTTCATAGGTAAGGGTAAATTTTGAAGTGCAGGAACTTGTCATGATAGCCACACCTGCTAGGAGAGTCCAGAAATGCAGGCAGCCGTGTGGAGACATAAACCCTCAAGAGCAGCCGTATATGGCATAATGCCCACTCTGCGAGGATCAGCTGCCAGTCACAGAACAATGGGTGGGGCAAAGGGTGGGGCAGTGGCAAGCCTTTCGGCCTTTGGCTGGGGGGCCTGGGGTCACCTCGCTGCTCAGCCATGGAATTCACGGAGCGGCCTCTGAGCAGTTACTGAGAGCCCAGCCCCAGCGCACCTTCCTGAGCTCAGTGGAGGAACAGCAAGGGACAGGTGAAAGAAATATTGAAGCACCATACTCTATCTTACCTAACGTGTATTTTAACTTTTTATAACAGATTGCAGGACAATTGCATTAAGTTGTAATGTATCTTCAATGTAACAGACACCTTCATGTCCTTACAAATAATATAGGAAAAGCTGTTGCCAGGTAAACGTATTACCCTGGTGCTCGAAGGAACAGCTGATGTCATTACTCCTTCTCTAATAAAGAGCTGCACCCCTCCCACATTCACCCTGTACATCTACTGATTTGAGGTAGCTGCAGGTAATCATAGTATTCTGTGGTGTTTGATCTGCATTCTGCAGTGCCACATTCACACATTCAAGGATATACATCAGGGACTCAGTCATACACCCATTTGTCCAAAGCAGTCTTTCCCAAGCTGGTATCCTCCAAATGGGTTTGGTGACCATTCTCATCATCCCCAACCAGCATGGCCACTGAGGTAGCAATTTTGCTTGATGAGGCAGAGTTGGGTCTGGTCAGTGCTTGATGCGAGATCAGTGGGGAAATCTTATGCATCCTACTCTGAACTCCTTGGAGAAAAGGCAATTTGAATAAATACAAGGAGGCATTACTACTCAGTGATGGAGCCATTAAGTGATGAACATACATCTTTGTATGAGCTGTCAGTCTTCCCAAAATTAAATGGTTAGCACTAAGCACAAAGCCAAGGATCCTGGCTATTTGCCTGTGAACAAAGTTGTTCTACTATTTATGTTTCTCTGAAATTTCCAGTTCTGCTTCATACAAATCAATATGTGCTTTCAGTTATCACACCCACCTTATTTCAGATGTCAAAAGCATCTATCTCATTTACCATGTTTATTAAATATATGTTTCTCTCTCTCTCTCTCTCCCCGCCACCCCAAACAAGACAGGAAAGGAGTAGAAAATAGTAACAGAGGTTCTGAAGAAATCTTGTAAAATATAATAGATATGAAAGTTGAAATTTAAGACAAAACAGGATCAGAACCTATTAGAAGATTCCCTTGCAAAAGATAACCTTTGTAATGAAGGCTTTTTCTACATGAAACAAGGTTTCGTTAGGATCTTGAACAAAGTTCAGATATGCTTGCTGAATTTAGTCTAGCAGGAAGGGTCATGCATACTTTTGTGACATCACACTTTTGTGACACAAACAAAAGTGTGACATCACACTTTTGTTATGTCAATGCCATAAAATACTTTAAGAAGGCATTAAGCCCCTTAAGAAGGGCTGCCTTTAATATGGAAATTTTCAAAAGGCAGCAACTAAGCTCCTGATGAGGATAATCTTTAGAAACATAACACAGCAGAGCTCCAGATTACTGGATTATGTTCCTGAAGAGCACCTCTTGTTTTAATCTGTAAAGTTCTAAGTGATATGAACCCAGATACCTTGGAAACTATTTCCTTTCCTGTGTTCCACTGTAATCTCTAAGATTCATCAAACAGGGGATGTGGACCTGGCATGCTTCCCCTAATTAAGCATGACAAAAATTAGAGGAAAAAAGAGTATTTTATTCTCAAGGATAGAGTTTGATCATAGTGAAATGGCAGTCAATCCCGAGCACATGCCAAAGTCCCCTTTTATATCCCTGCTGACTAGGTAGCAATGACAGCTGATAACTGAGTTACAATTTCCACCACAATTGCCCATTGACACGTGTCAATGCAGGCGGGTTCCCCCACTTCCCTGGGAGACTGCGCTACCTGGAGGTTGGGCTGGGGATGGCTAATTCTCTGGCCTTTTGTAATGCTCCAATTTACATTGGCAATGCTTGGGACATGACCAGCCTGCCCAGGCTTAACGTCAGCCAGGCAGGTATGTCCTACATGAGCTAATGACTGGCCCAAAGTCATGCAGTTATTTTGTGCATGAATGGAGATTTGACCCTGGGTCTCCCCATTCCAGTATTCTACCTACTATATCACTCTGTGTTTGTATGTTCCTGTAAGAAAAATGCTGTTTGATCATGTTGCAAAACTGGTTATGTGACTTTTCCCCTCTCTGAAACAACTGCATCCAACAGCCCTTGCAGTATCTTGAAAGGAACCAGTGGTTGATGCACATATGGAAGAATGCAGGAGTCTGAGCCTGTCCTAGAGACTGAATAGCTTTTTCTGCGAAGTCTGACCATGAGTATTCCAGTTGATAAACAATACTGAGATTTCAAAAGCTAGTTAACTGCACAGCTAGCTCCAGAAAGATTTTTACTATTTACTGTGGACCCCACATATGGACCCATTAAGTTCTGAGGTAATAGCTCCTCGCTGGCCTCAGGTGCTGCTGTGCTAAAATGCCACTACAGGCTGGGGATGAGGAGTCTTCGGGCTGCAGGCCAAATTTGACGTGCCAAGCCAGCCAATCTGGACCTCCAGATGTAGTCGCATCTAGTGCCTAGTTATATTGTTATAGCGCCTAGTTATAGTGTCCCATTCTAATCCCAAGCATGGTGGAACCAATAAATAGTAAAACATCCTTGGCATCACTATGGATATGACTATGGAATGTGCTCCCTAGAGAGGTCTGCCTGGTGCCATCATTATATGTTTTTCAGCACCAGTTCAAGACCTTTTTATTTGATCAGTATTTTAATATGTATTAATTGGATTTTATTGTTTGTATTTTATAGGATTTTCAGCCAGCATGGAATAGTTAATTTAGTTAATTTATTTTATTCTGATTAATGTTGTAAACCGTCCAGAGACGGAAGTAATGGACAGCATACAATTTTTCTAAATCAATAAATCACAGTATTCTGGTAGTAGAAAAACTGAACTTTTGCCTTGGCACCAGCCCTGCCACTTTTTCTATGAAACCATGTAAACTTCTTTGCTACTTTCCTGTCCTTTGTACAATTTGCTCATGTGTTTATCAATATTAGAAGAGGAACAGATTTTCCTTTTTCAAAGTACACAGTTTAGCCCTCCAAATATGAAAGGGCACAATTCTATCACTCTTGCCCTTGATGCACACTGCATAGTGAGCAGAACCCTGTTCTTCCCACCCTCAGAAAACCTGATACTTTCATCTAATGTTGTTCTTCTGCAGTGGCTTTAGGAAGGATCAAAGATTTGTCCCTCTTTTAATGTTAATATGTTAAGATTCAGCCATACATAGAATCAAAACATGCATCAGTAGGTCTCTGAATAATGCCATGCCCCCTTCAACAATATTGCAAGGCCACAAGATTGTGCCCTGACGAAAACTAATTAATAGATTAATAGAAAGCAACGGGGTGTTGGCTTCTTTTCTTTTACCATCCAGATAAAATAAAATGCAACAATTGGGTAACAATGTACTAGAGGAGCACTTCACTTTAATATTAAAAAATTTTCACCTAGCAGAGAGACATGCATCATGTAGTACAGTTTCTTAAACATATATGTGGTGGATATGAAAGTGCCCGTGCGACAAGAAGCCGCATCACAATTATGTATTTTATACATGCGATTGACATGTCTTTTACATATGAACTTTGGCTTGGTGCTATGGTTCCACATATCACAAGCCCATTCATGTCAATGGGAATTTTGTACAAGAATGGAATACGGCCTTGAGCATTTTCGGAAAGTTTTGTTTTTGTCTTAAAGAGAGGAAAAGATTTCACTAACTTTATTTAATCCATCACCCCAGCACACACCAGCATTAGCTGCCTGTATAGCTCTGCCAGTGCTTGGTCAAGCCTAAAAAACCTTCAAGCTTAAGCAAACCTTGACACAGGACAGAAGTAAAACTAGAGACAGCGAAAAGAAAATGGCTTTCAGAGAAAAGAGAGGAAGAAGGAAAGAAAGAAAGCAGAAGAGCAAAGAATAAGCAGGGATGAGAAAATTATTCATACATTTCCTTCATTAAAGAATACATATTATAATTAAATATGAAATATGTGAGAAGATACCCTATTTTATTATTGGCCAAGATCAGAACTTTTGGAGTGACTAATCATCCAAACAGTGATCCAGTCCACACAGTGACTAATCATCTGTTCTGGCAATTGGCAATCTGCACAGAGTTATCCTCGTGAAGTGGAATTCTGACCAATGGCCTTGCTTTCCTCCATTTTGTCCATAACTGTAGAGCAACTCTAGCTAGTCTACTCAGAAGTAAGCACCTCAAGTTCACTCCCATTTAAACAGGCATAGGTGTGAGGCCTAAATACATTCATATTTATGTTAAAATTTTTAATCTCGTTTTACCACAGTTTACCTTATCAAAATACGATAGAAAAAAGATAAAAACAAAGGCTAAGCAGTTTCCAAGCAGCAGAAAACCAGGAGAAACCAGCTAAGAGTAGCAGAAATGATAACCAACAGGAGTTATCCACAGCCAAAAGCTTCCTGGAAGAAATCTGCTTTAATCAGGCCGCAATAAAACAAAAATGTCTGGGGTCTAGGTGGGCCCCCCTGGAAAAGGCATTGCCACAGCAGAAAAAGTCCTGTTACTCATAGCCAATTGCTGAACTTTACCCAGTGATGGAACCTGAAGCAGATTGTTAAATTTTGTCTGAAACATATAAGATGGAACATGTGGAAGATGCAATTCCTTACCATACCCAGGTTTTAGACCATTTCAGTTTTTTAGTCTAAGAACAAGCAGCTTGAAAACAACAGGCAACCAATACAAATTATATGAGGTCAGGGGTTATAAGCTTCACACTGTCTGCCTTCTTCAATATCTGCACAGAAGTTTCTGGTCACGTTGTAAGAACAGTCCTGTGTGGAATCTGTTACAGTAGTCAGATACGGAAGTTAGCAAGACTTGGAAGATCATAGTCAGGTCGGTCTTCTCCAAAAGAAAAACTCAGCTGACTTACCAGCTTCAACTGGGGAAAAGTACTCTTAGATACTGCAAGCACTTGAGCATCCCAAAGTAGTACTAAGCCAAGGAGCAACCCCAAGCTGCAAACCTTCCCAAAGTAGCACTCAATCAAACTCAATCAAACCTAAACTTCAAACATGCACCTTAAGGGGGAAATGTCTTTCTATTCCAAGTATGCCACGCATCTAAGATGTGCTCATTTCCTTCACAGAGATAGGAACCAAATGCAGTTAACAAATACAAAAGAAAGTGTAGAACATGGTGGCATACTGGCTAACATTGGACAAAGGAGAGCCCACATGACATGAAGCTAAGAAGATGAAGTTAAAAACTACATAGAAGTTAGACTCTCTGCCTATTAAACACTTTTTCCCATGTTGCATTTAAAACAGTCAGGGAACAACCACATCAGTGTTGAACAATAAAAACAATGCAAAGAGCTCTGTGATATTGTCCCCAGGGTCAGTAACCCTAACCCTAAAATAGGGCTTTTCCACACAAAGCATTTCTTGTGTACTCATCATTTCCTATGGATTCTTTACTCTTTATGGGTTCTTTAGATAACATCGTGATACTCCAATTTTGTGCCTGTACCTAACCAGCACTTCTGGAAAACTTGTATAGAGCAGGAAAAACGTGAAAGCAAAATAAAACAGGATTTCCTTTGGGGATTTCTCTTGTGCCACCTAGAGGTTACATAACAGAAAAGTGGGAAAGGAAGCACTACTGGTGTAGTCCTCAGATATTAATCTGTGATTTTTTAAAAGAAAGATAATGTGTACTAACAGTCTATTAACAGCTTCATACAGAAATGCTCTTCAGAAGTAAGAGAATCTCTGTGATAGAAGCTTTTTTCAGTTATATAGGCCTAGTTATTTCATTGAACAGCATAGTTGCAAGTTCTAGGCTTTCAGTAACAATTGCAGGCAAAAGCTTTTTCATTGTCCATTGAACTACTGCAACCTGCAGTTAACATGAAACAGCAGAAACAGCTCATCATATGCCGATTCCCCCACCACCACCCCTTTAGCTTCTGCCCAGAGAAGAAGGAAATGGAGCAACCTAATAACCTGACAAGTAGACTACATAAATTAAATACATAAATTCTTTAGAAATAGGGCTCTTGGTAGCACATTTAAAGTGTAACTAGTATTTCAGCAGGAGACCCAGGAAGTTCATATTTAAAATAAATGAAATGCTCCCAAGAAGGTGACACTTCAGAATTATTTCTTCCATTGCTTTACTCTTATTGGCTCCACTATTTCCATTGTTTTGAGGTAACTGTTTTAGAAGTTTAGGCTGCTAAAATGACATTTGTAAATTTCACAGCATTCAGGAAAATATGCATATGAACTCCATTACCAATGTTTACACCAGGGACTGGATTAATTCTCCATTTGCCAGCAAAAGTAGAATATGCCACACACTCTACATACTAAAACGAGTTGAAGATGAGTTTCCCCGCTGTACATCTTCTGTTAAAACAAGGGATGCATTTTTTCCCCTGCTTTGGTTCTAAAACTCAATAATATAGCTCAAGGCGAGTATTTGTTTTGTTATTTCCTGCTGAAACAACAGAAGAATGTTCTTGTATAGTATAACAGAAAAGGAAGGATGGCAACAGTACCCAAGAGAGTGTGTTCCTTCTGGGTCTGAATTGTTCAAATTAAAGAAAACAGGGTGGAAAAACTCTAAGAATGTAAGAAAAGCAACAGGTGGAAATAAACCATCCACTGGACAATGAGGGGGAAAATGAGAAATAATCCATGAGAATCCACTCATCATCCATGCCATTTTGCCTTCCTATTTTAATTTTATTATCAATAAGCATTTAAACTATTTATAATAATGTCTTCATAATGCTTCAAATTATTTTGTATCCTTTCTATTATTTAATTTAGCTCTGAATTTAACTTTTTTCTTTTGTTTTGCTTTTTAATATTGACAATTACGCTAAATGGTGGATTCAAGGATGCTTAACCAGACTTGCTGGCTACAAGCAAGTCTTACAAAATCAAGCCAAATGCCTAATGCCATGCACATTTTATATATGCCTTCTAGCAATACCAACCCCTGCACAAACCCCATTCAAATGACTGTGGATTGTGCCTCTAGATCTCCAAGACACCAGGGGGAAGCTTCAGATGTTCAAAGAAAGCAAGATGAGTTGCAGCTGGTAGTTTCTCTCTGCAGTTTAGAAGGTAATTGTGATACTGACTGCTGGTAGTGAAAGAGCATCCTAGGGGCCTGCCACTCTCAGAGAGTGAATAAATATTAATTTGGAGATGGGTAGCTCTTTTGGCAATGCCTCATTTGCTACTTGATCTCAAGCTGTGGGAGAATCAAGCCAATTATTTCTGAAGCAAATGATAATGCATGGAAGATGGAAGGATATGTTTCAAGAACATAAATTATTTCCTGTTTCTTGTGAATGGACAGATCTGTCTCAATGAAAAATCAAACAAAAGACTGAAGGCAGAGGAAAGGCAGCGTGTCATGGCTGTGTTTTCATTTACATTCTGGAAAAACAGAAACATAACTCTTTCTTCCTCCTCATACAATGAAGCAATGCTATGGAAAGGTTGATACGAAGTAGCACATCTTACAACAAAAAAACAGGGGGAAAAATCCTCTCCAATGTAAAAATCTTGGAACCTAAAGCTATTGAGACAAAGATGGCCTACACCCTCTTTGTGTTTATGGGGAGAAGCAGTTGTCTGCTACATTAGTGCAAAATAACAACTTCAGACAGTCAGACACATGCTGTAATGTTTCAGATGAAATCAAACTCTGAGAAATTTTTTAAATGTTTTCAACACATCAGCATGAAGCATCGACCTAGTTGGAATCACTTAGATCTAAAGCAAATGCACTGATTGTTTTCACAGCATGATTTTCTTCTTCAAGCTGCAACAGGCAGGCTGGCAACTGCTGTTCGGAAAGGTTTTCAGCCCCCTGCCTTGGTCTACTGTAGCCTGTGACACGATCAATAGCAGGGTTAGAAGGCAGAGGAAGCTAAGGAAAGATTATGAAGATGAGGTGAGTGACAGAATTACCTTAAAGGATTTGTTCTCTCTCACTCACCTTGAATCTCATGTGTCTCAGACAAAGACAGGAAACTATCAGAGCAAGAACACACACACACACACACACACACACACACAACATGGAGTAGAGCGAAGATGCGGTGTGTGTTATGCATGGGTATGGACAAACATTTTCTTAAAACAGTGTTAAATGAGCCATTTACAGAGCTGAAACAGAGGTGATTCTGGAAAATATTATTACTTGGGTAACTGGCTGTTACCCAGGTAGAGAAACTTAACCATATCAGTTTTCCAGTAATTAATAACTGAATCTGCATAAAATTGCCTGGGGGGAACAATGATTTGGAAGGCGAGAATGCAACTTCTCTCTTTTCAGCATCTTAGAGGAGGTACTCTCTCATGTGTGCAAAACATAGGCATGCATGTTTCTTTTTGCTAGTTTCATAAGTACTGATATTCAGGCTTCAGCCCTAAATACACTCATCTAGCTGAGCATAAGTTCCACTGAACATGGTGAGAAATCAGCTCCTAGAGCCTTGCAATTGACTCACCATGTCTTAGATCACATAATCAGTCTGCATAATCAGACAAGATCATCTTCCTTTCACCATGTTATCTGCTTGCTTCAGCCTCTGACCACCAGTCTGAATGGATTCCCTTCTGCCTTGCTGGGTCCGCTGATCATTTCTGCCTCATGTGAACAAGCACAGAACAACAGGGGCAAGTAAAAAGTCTACAAGCAAGGAGTAACCGTCTTTTAAGGGACCGTGCCCTCTATTACTGTCTTTCTAACTTGAGAAACTCCAGTGTTTCCAAGAATGTGGTTTGAAAACCACTGTGCTAAAAGACAAATAGTGAAGACAATTTTTATGGGAAATACTAACATGTAAGATCAGATTCAAACCATCATTCTTCCCCTGGGGAAAAAGCAAGGCTTATTTAATGAGCATGTTGAATCCAAGTGGTATCAAGAGGACCATAATTTTAATGAGAAGCTTTAGCAGGAAGTGTAATCTAGCTGATTTTCTTACATATAGACCTAAAGAGTCTGCCATAGTCCTTCACTTGGGGATTCATATTAATTACAATGTCATTTTGAAACACTGTTTGCCTTATATGAATTATTCCTGTTTACAAAACCACTCAAAATTACACAAGTTCTCTCAGGTTTTTGTCTTCTTCCATTTGCTGAATGGCTGTGAGAGACCTGTTGTCAAATTGCCATCCACACTTCAAAACGTTCTTGACATGAGACACAGAATGCAAACTATTTATTCAGGCTGTGGTTTTGAGGGCTTTTCTTTTGGGGAGGGAGTTCCCTACCGTCAGCGATGTCACTTGACAGTATTGTTCATGTTCTGCAATATGTTTGGTAATTGTGTCAAACTGACACTTGAGATTTCAATTAATCTCTCCTCAAAGGGGGAAAAAAGGGAAGTTTTACACGCATGCTGAAGCTTTTGCTTTTTAAAATTACACTCATCATATCTTTGGCAACAAGAACAAGGTAAACCACAACCATGACACATTCAAGAAAGGGTGTTTCAGCAAGTTAAACCTCTGCATGTGTTTAAAGATCATGAAGTAGCACTTCACATGGAATCAACAATGCTTCAGATATGCAAATAAACACATTAAAGGCTATGAAATATTCAGGCATATCTGGAACTATCATTTTAAACTAAACCTGATCACTTTCCTGGAATAGACTAGGTTCTTTCTGTTGTTCATCATTTCACGCGCATCAGGTTTCCTCTATACCTGCTCCACTCTAACAAAGCCTTAACAAAGGTTAACTTCTGACCTTTGTAAGAGTTATTTCTTACATGAAATTTTGTAGACTTCATAGTGCGTCTTAAAGTCTACAGACTTGGTTTTTACCATTGTACCATGCAGACTTTAAAAAATAATTTGGTGAGTAGGTATAATAATGTTTCTCAGCATTATTTTTAACACAGCTCCCCTCCACATGACTACCAACATCTATCTATTCCACTAGAGAGGGTGGGAAAACACTTATGATGCCATCACATACATACAACCTACTGATGCATGTTATGAATTTAGGGATGGCTAAATCTTGCATATTAACTTTAGAAGAGTGATAAATCTTCGATCCTTCCTAAAGCCACATACAGGAGAACAATATTAGAATAAAGCAGCAGGTTTGCTGGGAGGGGGAGGAACAATGTTCTGCTTGCTATAGAATTCTCACACTTTTGGGAACTTCACACAAATGTTCCACATGTCTTCACATCATGGCTCAGGATGCTCACAGTCTGAGAATGGAGAGGTTACAGTGTATGACTCCGGAGTGAGAAATTCAGATGCATGTTCTCAGATAAAAATCTCAGCGGATGGCCTTGGGCATGTCATGTGCAGGCTAACTTGACAGTGTTGTTCTCAAACAAAAGTACTAATCTAAACTCCTTGGAGGGAAATGGGAGGATACAAATGGAAAAAATAAAATAATTAAGGTATAGGTTCAAAATGTGTATGTGTCCATAAAACTAAATGATGACTCCTGTCTAGCAGGGAGTCCATAAAATATGGCATTCAATCCATACTGTTAGTGTTGTATGAGCGTGCTCAGATGAGATTCCCAGGAGCACACAAGAGATGGAGGGCTTTGGTGGGAATGGTGGCTCAGACTTGGAGGAAGGGGAGTGGATAGCTGAAACCAGCAGTGGCTCAGAGTTCTCACTCTGATATTGGAGTTGTTGAGACTAGCAAGGCTCCGGCTGCCCAAAACCTCCTGGTGAACCAGCCTGAGCCAACTCTGGATCAAAGCACTTCAAGGACAACCACTGAGCCCCCACCCCCTCCTGACTGTGGGAAAGAAGCCAGCGGAGAACAGGCTGGGGAGGGGTTCTCCAGAGGAGATCTTGACACCCCTGGAGACATGGTTGCAAGGGCCCATTGACACACTCACCTGCTGGACCTATTAAAGGCTCAATGGGAAGAGCATTGGCTTGCCCGCTTCCATAGTACACTCCCCTCCAGAGATCAGCCTTGAAGGGTTCATAAACAAAGCTTTGGGTAAATAGGGGCAAAGCGAGGGGTCAACTTTCCACCTGGAGTGTGTGTTTTGAGGCTTGTGAATACGTTGTTTCTGTATGGAGTAAAGACTCTTTTAATAATTACTGAAGTGCTTGTCTCGTTTGGGAGGGGACACTTAGCTCATGACAGTTAGGGTGCAATGCTATGACCTTCTTGGTGGAGACATAGGATTATTCAGAGTCTTAGCTCCAAGATCCTGAGTTGGCTAGCCCTCCAGGGTTGTTTGATGAAAGGAAAACATGCATGCCAAGAGGCAGGGAAAAGACAGGGCTAGGGGCAGGGACTTATACCAAGTCCTATTGGAGCCCCAGCCCCCTCTCCATCCCTTTATCTAGAAGGCTGAAAACAGAGTTTGGAGGCTGATGTGCATTGAGGGCAGGGGGCAACAGAATTTTGCCTTCCACGCTCTTACATAGATACACTGAGCTGGTTTTTGAGGTTCTTCATGCACTATTGTTTGGATACTCTTTGGGGTATATTTCATTCATGGGTGATGATATAAAAGAATACCCAGTGTTAGCACAGAAAATTATGTCAGGAGAACAGTTATTAGGTCAGTGAATAATAAAATCAATAGCATTGAAGACCATCGCTTTAACTCCATTAATGTACCTGACTTCTTTGTGCTCCCGTGTGTCCTCCTGCTCATATACGGTATGTTTGCCCTACCAATTGCTTATCATCTGCTTATCTTACTCTGTTCAACATGATGCAAAGCTATTTGTCTTTTGGCCACTGAATATAAGTTATTCAATGAAATATTTCAGTATTATCTTTCTTGCTGTTCATCATCATCTCTAGTTGTTTTCCCAAGGTTAAACGTTTTATATGAAGCAGTATAGAATGCCACTGAGTATTTCCTACATATTGATCACAATTAAGTAACTACACATTATGGTGCATATTCATAAGGTGTCTAATGTTAAATGGATGATTTCATTTATAGTTTTTAATGTATACTTTTACTAATAATTTTTAAAACAATAAAAAAGAAAAGCAAACAAATGTACAGTACAGCTGTAATCCAACGCACCAGGACGAGCCAAAAGGGGAGTGTCTTTTGCAAACATTTTTGGCAGAATCAAAAATGTTCTCCCCTTCAACAATTTTATTCACATTGCAACAAAAAGAACTGAAAATATTCACTCACTAAGAGTGAGGCTGATGCTTCCCAAAGGCTGCTTGATTTGCCCTAAGCATTGTCATTATACATCCAGATCTAATTAGTTACTCAGTAAAGCAACATAATCCCATTCATTACATAATCCTCCACTGGTTGGGATCACCCATGGGGCTATTCCAAGGCAGTATTCCAACCCAGTAAGCATAAGAACAAATTGTGTCAGGGCAACATCAAATTGGGGGAATAATGGCAGCAAGCAGGCTCAGAAAAAGATGATCATTCTCATTGCTCTTTAGGGGAAAACTGCATATACCCTCTTCCAAAGCAACACTTTTGCCCTGAAAAATAACATGGGTGAACATTCAGCAAAGCCCTGCTCAACATAGTTATGGGCAGTTCCCAAGTAATGAACATCTGAGTTACAAACAACCCGTAGTTATGAACAAACTGCCATGAAGTCTATTCATTTTTTAAAATTATTGCAGAAAATCATCATCACCATAGAGAGAGGGGGAAAGTGAAAGGGGAGAGAGGGAGGCCTCCAAAACATGCCTTCCTGCCCCAACCATCTGGAGAAGGAAATCGCTCTGGCATTTCCTTGCTGCAAAGAGGAGGCACTGGTGAATTTGGCAGCCAGGGAGCCTAGAGATATTTGCACTTTTTCCACTTTCATGAGGATCCTGCATCCCTAAGCCCCATGTATGTGGAGGGATGATTCTACATACAAATTCAACTTAAAGACAAATTGGAATAGGACTTGTTTTTAACCTGGAAACTGCCTGTATGTAGACATGTAATGTAAACATTTTTTCTTAGAGCCAGTCTTCACGTCCCAATCAATAGTGAGGCAGCTGGACTGGATTGCACCACTTTAGTCCATTTCAAGTGAGGTATCATACAGCACCATTTTTATTTTCTAAATTCTGAATCACAGATCACATGTGCATGCACATCACCCAGTTTCTGCTAATTCAGTGACTCATATTTCCTCCAATGAAAACTATTGTGCCTGAGTAATGCAAGGCACTGTTGGCAGTAGATAATTTGCAATAGCCGTTTCACACATGGAAGCCATCACTTGATGTTGCAAACATGGAAGCACAAACATAGTCTAATGGTGTACTCACACTTGATACGAGCTACGTACATGCCTCAGTGCCAAAAAAGTTACAGATTGTATCTGTGCCAATGGGCAGAGTGTTTAACTATCCATAGTTTGTTAACACTAGCATATTTCCATTTAGGCAGATTTAAATCCTACTGACTTCCATTGACTGGATGGAGCTCAACTGGCTATTGCTGGGGTTGAACAGAATTTCTACAAGTTTGGGCTCGGTTGTTTTCCCTCTTATTGTTGTAGACATACTACACTATAACAATACCAACATGACAACTGAAGGATGGTTTACAATGCCTACACCTCCCTTGACTCCAAAGTAATTCTCTAGCTACAGAACCAAACCATTTGTCTCATGTCTGGCATTTATTATGATCATGACAGAATGCCCTTCATCATAAAGAATCTAATCTGTAAAACCAAAGCCAACCTGATAGTTCAGTCTGCGTAATCCTCTGTTTTCTTCCCCTTATCCCCTCTGGCAATATGACAGTGATATTTTGATTGCTTTATGAAATTCGTTAAGGGCAATCTACTGAGCCTCACAATTATTGCTAAGAGAAGCATGGAACAGAAAAGATGAGAAAACACAGCCTGATCCTAAACATGCTTGAGAAGTCCTACTGAGTTCCAGGTGCATCTCTTAGGACATATTGCTATATGTTTGCAACCCAGACATCTCTGTAACTCCAAAATCAGCAACAAACACAAGTCAAGAACATGAGGTTTCTTGCTTCCATTTGTGCCCTTGCCCTCTTCATCTACTGCTTGCCCTCTTTGTTTTACAGAACACCTGGAGTCCTTCCTGCTATAGCAGAAATGGACGAATAGACTGAAAGCCCTGACAGAATTGCCAGAAGAAGCCACAACTGCTTTATATTTCACATCACTGGTGTTTTTACATGTTCTTAAACCCCCTTTATGAAAGGAGATTTCCCAGATTTCCCTACTAATAAATACTTCTCAATTAATTATTGATAGGTTATGATATGAAACTGTATCTATGGTTTCTGGAAAATTTAATCAGTCACAGTTCTAAGCAAAATGACCTAATTTACACTTCCCAAACTAACAATCAGATTGGCATACAATTTCCTTTGGATTGCAAAGCTCTCCAAATTTTGTGATGCAAAGTGTGAACAAAAATGTACATTAGGTGAAGATATATACAAAATTTTGTATTTCAGAGGAAAATATGCAAATATATATGAACAAATCAAAATGGCAATTTGGATTTGAATATTCAGGATTATTTCAACAGGGTAGAAAGGACTTGTGAAACTGACACAAACTGGAAATAAGCTAATATGGCCATCCCTGAATGCAATTAGGATACGTCCTTAAGTGTGGTTATTAAGCAACAGGCAAGCCACTACCTAATATATTGCAGGTCTTATAACAAGTGTTGGCCATATGCATTCATGTTTACAAAATCAGGGCACCTGTGTTTGTTTTAGAGTTTGTTAATACAAAAGAAACCAAGAGTGTTGCAGATACATTCCTTTGTTCGCTTTCCAGGTTGCTTCATCCATAGTTTCATTTCCCATGTTTCAGCATGCAGATGAACCAAAAATACAAATTAGATTAAGGAGCTTAATAATTCAGGATAACTGACTGTGTAAATAATATCACAGCTTTGTCTCATGCATAGCTGCATAAAGTTTGTTCTTTTATAAAGCTTCACAAAGAACCATTTATTTTTCACAACTTATTTTGTATTAATTAGGGTTGTATGATCAATTTGTTTCAATTCATTTAGGACCACAATTTATCCCATTTGCCCTTCAGAAATCCAAGCACAAGCAAAATACATGGTTGTTATAACTTATTTCTTTAGTGAACAAAACAATGTACAATAACAACTTCTGACTGAGATATCACACTCTTTCCCTTCACACTCAGGTTACTGTAAGCATCTATCTCTCACACCCTTATAATACTTGACAATATTAAGTTTTGACTCCCCTTGGTCACTCATATGTCCTCTAAGTAATCTACTTCCTTCCTTTTCCTTTTGAATCTTAAATGCTTTTCACACCACTCTATGAGATTCTAATGAGAAAGCTCCTCTTCAGAAGGTGCAGACTGCTGAATGACCACAACTCTGACTGTTAACTGCTGACAAATGAATAACTTTTTGCCTTCTCTCTCTCTTGGCCCTGCGCTTGTTACAAAGGGAATACAAAGGATGCATCCTGGCTCCTGGATGGCTTCATTTATATATAACAATGCCATTTTGTCAGGAACCTAACTTTTCCAGCATTCCATGCCCCTGAATTGGCTACAAAACCTATTTCCATTCTCCTGTACACAGATGATGCTGTATTCCTATCCCAAACAAAAGTGAGATTAAGAAGATGGCTGAGGGCATTCTCCAAGTATTGTCATGAAGAACATGTGGCTGTTAATTACGACAAATCTAAAGTCATGGTGTTTTCTAGAAGTCCCAGGATCCACAGATGTTCTGTGGATTACCAGTCAATCAAACAAGTCAAAGCTTTTAAATATCTTGGAGTGGATTTTCAATCAACAAGGTCCTGCTCAGCCCATCAGAAAGATGTGGTGGAAAAGGCATCTCAGAGTTCAAAATTATTGACACGCATTTACTTAGGAGGCAGCTATATACCATCATCACATGAAATGTGAAGGGCTAAATCTCTAGCACAGCCACTTTATGGTGTCCAGAATCTGGTGAATGCATATGTTAGATTGTTTAAGCTGTTCAGTCTAAGCTCTTGAGATAAATTTATAAGGTTCCTTGTTGTGTCCCAAATGCCTTGCTGCACATGGAAGCTAACCTCTCTACCGTCAACTTGCAGGTCACTTAATTTCTGACTCTAACTGTAGTCGACCCTCACTTGTTTACGCTCTTTAATCTTGCAATATTCCCACAAAAGTGCTTTGGATCACAAAACTTCACTTTATGGGTCTATCACCCCAGCACTTATTGAAGTTAGGCTTCAGCAAAGCAAAAGCCTTAATCAAATAGCAGCTATATGACATTGAACAACTGAATAATCTAGCTACTGCAAAACCAAACCAAACCAAACAAAACCATGGTTTGGACATTTCCCTCTCTGGTCCTTTGATAAAGTATTTGCAAAAGTTAACTGTGCCAAAATATAAATGAGCTTTCACATATGCAAGACTCAATATTTTTGCCACAGTCATACTCAAGGGTCAATTTAAAATAATCCCCTTGGGAACTCGCTTATGTCCATGTTGAAACAGTAGCATGTATTTACTATTGAAACAGTAGCATGTATTTATTTATTTATTTATTTATTTATTATTTATTTGGAGCATTTTATCCCACCGTATACAAAAGTCTCAAGACAGCAATTTTTGCCATTTTTATAAACACCTAAGGGCTGAGGTGATTACTCCCTTACTGCTACCTATTCCAGGGCAACCTGCTTCTGCATATCTGACTTGCCTTTTAGCAGATCAAAACAAACAGGTCATGATGAAAACTGCAAGACTCCTAGCCAATGCTTTAAAATAAGGTCTACTTTTGTTTCATGCTTCTAACTTCTACAAGTCCTGAGAGGCTATGTACAATGAATTATCCAATAACTTTGGTAGTGTTACCTAATATAAATTATGGAATATCTAAGGTAATTTTAGAAGATGTAAACTTTGTACATCTTATCTGCTTATATTATATTTTTATTTTTAACATTTATATTTTATATGCTAAATCATCTGGCAAATGCAAATAAAGATTGACTTGACTTCTCCTCTCTTTTCTCTCTTTTCTGCTCTCTCCTCTCTTCACACATATCCAAGCTCTCAGTCACCAGCCAATCACCTCGCTCATTCATCCCCCTCTTTTACCCCCTTTGCTCTTCTGAAACTTACCACCATTTAAAGGAACACACACATAACACTTTAAATCATTACAGTAGTCAGTGCTCATACTGTCTTAAGTCTGTGGTGCTTTTGTGAGGAAATACACATGAAAAATGTGAACCTTCAAAAAATACACATGAAAAATGCATACTTAAAAAGACATTCTTTAATCCGTGAGACAAGACAGAATACTTTTGAATGTGCAACCAAGTACCCATCTTTCACACTGAAAATAGGGGAAGCTTATAATCTGATATGGACATGTGTGGGGCTGAACTTCAAGGAGTAACTTGTAAACCCTTGCCAAGTTTGAGTTTCACTGGTTTCCAGGTCCCTCGAAAAAATATAAGAATGAGCTATCAGGACTATCTGCAGTCAGTGGTATTGATTTTATCCATCATATATTTCTAGCTTATCTGGACCCATTTCAGTCCAGCTTCAGACCCGGGAATGGTATTGAATCTGCCTTGGTCGCCCTGTATGATGACCTGTGCAGGGAGAGAGACAGGGAGAGTGCGTCTGTGTTGGTCCTCTCAGTGGCTTTAGATACCATTGACCATGGTATCCTTCTGGATAGGCTAGCGGGATTGGGGGTAGGAGGCACTGGTTTGCAGTGGTTCCACTCCTATCTCAATGGCTGATTCCAGAAGGTGGTGCTGGGGGACTATGGCTCTGTGCCATGGCAGCTATGCCATGGAGTTCCGCAGGGATCCATTTTGTCCCCCCTGCTATTTAACATCTCCATGAAACCGCTGGGAGAGGTCATTAGGAGGTGTGGGCTGCGGAATCATCAGTATGCTGATGATACCCAGCTCTACCTCTCTTTTTCAACCAATCCAGGTGAGGCAGTGGCTGTACTGAACCGGTGCCTGGCCAAGGTAATGGGCTGGATGAGGGCCAATAAACTGAAGCGCAGTCCAGACAAGACGGAGGTCCTGTTGGTAGGTGGGTCGGGCTTCGGGGTGGGGGACCTTGACCTTGTCCTGAATGGGGTAGCACTCCCTCTTAAGGACAGGGTCCGCAGCTTGGGAGTGCTCCTCGACCCAGAGCTATCGTTGGAAGCTCAAGTAACAGAGGTGGCGAGGAGCACTTTCCTTCAGCTTTGGCTGATCCATCAGCTGCGTCCCTACCTGGAGGACGATTGCCTGGTGACAGTGACACATGCATTGGTTACTTCCCAATTAGCATTCTGTAACGCATTGTACGTGGAGCTGCCCTTGAAGACGGTCCGGATACTTCAGATGGTGCAAAATAGAGCTGCCAGGTTGCTGATGGGGACTGGGCATTGTGCGCACATGACTCCAGTCCTCCGTCAGCTTCACTGGCTCCCCATTGAAGTCTGGGCCCAATTCAAGGTGCTGCTTATCACCTACAAAGCCTTTAACAGCTTGGGATCTGGTTACCTAAAGGAGTGCTTGCGTCCATATGTGCCCTCCCGCCCCTTGAGATCGGCGGCAGAGGCCCTTCTCCGGGAGCCCTCCGTGAAAGATATTAGGAAGGTAAAATGAAAAAGCAAGAGCAAACAACATTAGTAGAAGAACTGAGGAAACGGGAACAAGAACTGTAGGAGGATCCAACAAAAAAAAATCTTAAGGTCCAAATGAATACTTTAAAGGACAAATTGAATCTCTTGGATACAAATGAACTTACTAAACAAATGAAACTGGCTAAACAGAATTTTTTTGAAAATGCTAATAAACCGGGGAGATGGCTAGCATATAAAGTAAAAAAAGAAAGAGAGAAGAGATTGATTTCGAAACTGAAAGATGAAGAAGGACGACTACAGGTACAAAATACACAAATTAAGAAAATAGCTGAAGATTTTTTTGCAAGGTTATACGGGAAGGAGGAGATTTTGAACAAGAAAGGGAGATTTACCAAAACTACCAGAAAAGTATCAAAAATGATTGAATCAAGAAGTAACAACTATGGAAATAACAGAGGCAATCATGCGACAAAAGAATGATAAAACCCCTGGTCGGATGGATTACCAGCTGAATTTTATAAATCTTTTGAGGGAGTTTTTGCTACATTTCTTAAAGATATATGTAATGAAGCATTGTTAAATTCTAAAATACCAGATACCTGGACAGAGGCAAATATCACATTAATACTGAAAGAAGATATGGACTTAACACAAATTCAAAATTACAGACCTATATCATTACTGAATGTGGACTATAAAATTTTTGCCTATTTATATGTTTATTTGTTTATTTAGGAGGCTTCTATGCCGCCCCATTCGCCAAAGCCTCGGGGCGGCTCACAATAATAAATAAATAAACACAATATAAAAACAATACAATTTGAGTCAACCAGGCCAAGCATAAAATAAATAAATAAATAAATAATATTAACAATTAAAAAAACATTTGAATAAAAAGGTCTTCGCCTGGCACCGAAAAACAAATAACGACAGCGCCAGGCGGGCCTCTCTGGGGAGCACATTCCATAGATTGGGTGCCACCGCAGAGAAAATTCTCCTCCGAGTACTTACCCTCCTAATATCCTTCACGGAGGGTTCCCGGAGAAGGGCCTCTCCTGCTGATCTCAATTATATTGAGATATGTAATATGTATATTACAATGAAATATAATTATATTGGCAGAAAGGTTGAAGAAGTTTTTAATAGACTTTATTCATCCAGACCAAAATGGTTTCCTGCCTAAAAGACAAATGAAGAACAACCTGAGGACTATCTTGGATATCCTAGAATACTATGAGACACACACGGAAAAATCAATGGCTCTCCTGTTTTTAGATGTCCAGAAAGCCTTTGATAATGTTAATTGGCAATTCATGAAGCAACAGATGGATCAAATGGAGTTTGGGGAAAATTCATGAATGCGATATCAAGCATCTATCAAAGACAATTGGCCAGGATTGTAATTAATGGAGAACTTACAAGGGCTATAGAGATACAAAAGGGTACAAGACAAGGATGCCCGTTGTCACCCCTATTGTTCATTTTGACTTTAGAGGTCTTGAATAGAAATGTTAAGGATGACGAGAACATTAAAGGTACTAAAGTT